TTATAGAGAATTTTGCTTGGATATCTTGATTTTACTGATAGTACAAATATTTAAACGCTAAGCACGAACACTTATATTGCTAATAATAATATAATGACAAAAGGAGAATAAGAACTGATCTATCTGTCCCTACTTAGGCCACTGAGCATGTTTTTTTCCATTTATTATCTTACATCTTTTAGTGCTGAACAGACAAGAGTAATTCATAAGCATTTGCTTCATTATTTACCTTTTTAGAGCACAGTAGCCTCCCCATTGGCATGTGCGTAAACCAAAAACAGAGACAGTGCCTATTTGTCTAGCATTCAGATAACTGAAGCAGGAGCCAGGCTGCTTTCTCTGACACAGGTGTAGAGCAGAACAAAATTAGTTTCAGCAAGCCAGTACCAAAGAGCACCACAGGTGGGAATGTCATCATTTCCCAGCCACTTCTGGTTACACTTGCATTGTGATCTGGACCTAGTCTGTGCAGGGACAGGACCTGCAGGAAAGTTAATAAAATTCTCCTTTAAATGTGTTGGTTAAATTGCTACCTCACTCAGGTGACTTTTTTTTTTAAATTTAATTTAAAATAGGCTTTAATTCTGTTTCTTTTAATCCACTTTGCAATGTAATGTAGTTTACCTGATCCAATTTAAATCCAAACCTCGAATTAGCTCAGCTTACCTTTCCTCAGCATCCCTACATAGGCAGGACCTAATTTTGTCTTCTAAGTCTAGATTCTGTATTTTCAACGTAGGCAGGTCCTTATTTTGTCTTTTAAGTCTTGAAGCCCTATTCTACCCTCTCTTCTCAGCGCTAGTGGGAGATTTCTGCACTTTGCAGAGTTACTTAAAAATGGTGATTAAAAACAATGTGTGAAGGAACAGGCAGAGATAATAATTCACAGAGTAACAGTTATGAAATTGCGGAGTAATTATAGCCTGCAAAACCCAATAAACCAACCTGTGGGACTTGTGGCAATTTCATTAAGGTGAGGGACTGAAAAGAGAGTGTGAATATGGGCTTTTAAAAATTGTTTTGTTGGCACTGGGATGTGGAGGATCTGGGTTTGCACTTGGTGGCAGTGCTGTCCTGCCCTGCCAACAGCTCGGGTGGCCTGGGCTGCGCTGCTGCCTGCAGAAGACATGGAGAGAGAGTGATGGCTTTGCACCACCAGGGGCTAATAACCTGCCTGATATTGTTTTACTAATTAATTTTAAATATTGTTCCTCTACTCTGATAGAGCTCTGATGTTTTAGAGCTTTGATTGGTGTCTAAAGGACTCCTTAAAAAGAAAAAGATGAAAGGAGCTGGTGGAAATGGGTGAAAATGTTTGTAATTATTATAGTAAGAGTCATCTCTGTTATTCAGAGTCCCGTGAGAGTAAGGATAGATGGTGGAAGGGAAATGGATGGGACGTTTTAGGGCCATACTTGGTATTTAATTTCTGCCTGGCACAGCACTGCCCCTCATGGCCCTATTTTTTCCTGCCCTTCTTCCCCTTCCTTTCTCCTTCCTTTTCTTCTTCCTCCCCTTTCTTTCCCCTTCCCTTCTTCCCAAGTAGGCTGTACTCCTGCAGGGGAAATGCTGTGCCATCCCCACTCTTAGCTGTGACATATTGAAAGCAAGGAAACACCCCAGCCCAACAGCAAACAGCCATTGCCAAGGCATTTATTGATTCTCCCTTCAGCTCTCCAAAAGAACAGGACCTGCTGAAGGTCAGGTTCATTTCAAGGTTAGCTGTCAATGACAGCATCAGAAACCACAGGTTGCTCTCAAAATGAAGCTCTGGTCCTTATAAGACTCACCAAAATTATAAAGATGAGTGTACCAGATCTGAGCTGTTACCTCTCCTTCAACAAAACATGCATAGCACTGTAGGTGTTGAGGGGGAAATAAAGTGTCCTTCAAATGACCTGTACAATGGGAATCTTGCATTTAGATAGTGTCCTTACTGACTGTGCTAGTAACAGATGAGAGTCCTCTAGCACCTCTTCAGGATGAACTCACTGATGGCCTTGCAGCATATGGTGACATAGACCTACTCATCCTTCTTATCTACTGGTATAAATGAGAATGAATGTGGTGTGGTCAAGTCTCGCAATTTTATTTTGAATTTCATAGCAACATATGTTTTTCTCAGTGCTTCAGTCTTCATTCAGATGACATGTAGAGAAGCTCATCTCTGTTCTTTCAAAGGGAATGTGTGGATTTTCCACTTTGTGTGGAACAGATTGAAAATGTGAAAAACAGAAGCTTTGATTGCAGGAAACAAACTCCTACTGTTTGTCTAGGAAAATGCAAGGCACTTTAGTCTCATGATTTTTGCAGGCCTCAGAGACCACTGGTCAAGATTAGTGGAGTTGTCTTTGTTTCAGCTGCACAGACACATTTTTAGCATAACGAAGTAAGATGTGCTAGACTCTGGACCTCAAGGTACATTGGTTGTAACGTGCTCTGGTGGAAAGAACTATGTAATCAGAGAATAATAATATTGGCACTAAAAAAGAAAAGGTGAGTCAAATCTGACCATGTGTAAGTACAAGATGGAAATAGGAAGCTTGGTAAAAATTAGACTGGAGATAATCTGAAAGTTCCCTTGTAAAAACAGCAAGAGAGGGAAGTTAAATGGTTTTTAAATGCACTTATTCCCCAGAAGAAGGTGAGGTTCACCAGACCAGACACAGTGACACGAGAGAGATCTATATCTACTCATAATTGGAGACTGATTATGCACCATGCAAGTTCATACTCCATTCTAGGTGCAGAGGTTAAATATTCGATGCTCAAATGGTCCAAAAGCACACAAATCATCTCCTTACCATGACATACAGTGAAAGGTGAGGCTGATGCGGTTTCTGTGGCTGCCTGGTACAGGTCATTCAGCAGCAAACATTGTTCAGGGATATATCTATCAACAGAAATGAGCCTCATTGCTTTTACAGTTCAGTGGAGCTCCTGATCAGCCCAATCTCAGTAATGAGCAAAGGCTGTGAAATAACTTGTGTCCTCTATTAGAGACAAACAAGCAAGAACACCACCACTTAAGGAAGCAATATAAATAATGAATGAGTAGAGAAATACGGTCCTTTCTGACAGAAATGATGCTGGTTTTAATTTGTGTTTATGGCACCTAAAGTAATGGGCACATGAAATATGCATGGAGAGAGAGAGAACCAGGAAAAAAAAATCCCTGCAGAACTCAACCACAATCCCCTGGCCCCCAACCAAAATTTGCAATGGGAAAAATGTAATGAGGCAAAAAGAAAGCTTCTGTAGGAAGGGAAAATAATAAACACTGGAAAAATACAGGGCATGTCTTTTTCTGCTGCCAGCTACACTACTAGGAAATCAAAATACTTTTTAGGAAATGAGCTCAAAGTGTAAGATTGCCTAGTGAGACAGTCTTTAGCATTTGGTATAATGAAGTCAAATCTTCATGGAGGGAAAGATAGTGTTTCAGTGCTGCTTGTGTACAGAAAGTCCTTGTTTAAAATATCTGAATCCCTCTTTTAGGAGTCATTCAAGGTGGCTTTCTTCTAAATATAAGAATAATATGCCATGAATCGGATTAAAATAAGGATGGGTTCATCATCTTGAATCTTTCTCTGGAAAACTAGGTTTAGTGAATTTTTTTCCTGAAAAACATTTTAGAAATTTGTAAAGTAAGAACTAAAATGATTTTAGCTTTCATAGCTGAAATTACTTCTTCCTGGACTTTTTAAAATTTACAAGATCTACAGAAGTGTTAATGTGTCTGAATATGATGAGTAGGGCTGTAAAACTGTACATTTTTTTTCAATTGAGCTGCTGAACAATAATGTCCCAAGCCTGCAATCAGTCAGACTGATTAGAGGATGTTTTTTTTCCTAGAACAATAGTGCAAATATTTTTGTCTGAGCTTGGCCATAGAATGTGATTGCCTGAAGTAGCACATATGATTTTCATCCCAGGAAACAACACACTTTTCAGCAGTGCTTGAAGTGGATTATATACTTGAATTTAAAAGTGGATTTTTCTAAATTAATTTTTTCACCAAAGTGAAATGGAAGCATAAATTTCAGAACAGGACTTCTACATATCATAACAAGATTCTTGCACTTTCTCTTCAACAATTGCCTGAAGTCACATGGCTAGAACACCCCTGCATGTGTGTGACCTGTCTATCAAAATCGCATCTCCAAAGACTGTCTTATCCATCAAGATGTTATAGTTGTGGATCATGGAAAGACTGTACTGAAAATGGTTGGTTCCAAAGGAAGTGAAATTCTCTGGGTAGGTGAAAGGTTATAATACAGAGAGAAAGAAAAAAAACCTCCATAACAAGAAGAAAGTCAGAGACAAAACTTGCTAAGGGTAAGGATAGCAAGGGAGTAGGTGTCCTAATTATCAAGTGTCCACCACTGAGATGGTAGAAGAAGTCAGAGGGCAATTTCTGTCCAACATGACTTTGGCACAAACAGTTCTTCAGGATCATGACATTAACAGGCATGTGGGCTGAAGATGAAGAAGGAGAGTGCTTGCAGTCTCTTTCAGACCACTGGTTCAGTGAGCTAATGAAATGACCCTACTGCTTGAGAGTTCATGAAAGTAGTCAAGTTGTGGGACTGCCCTAGCAGTACTTACCTGAATTAATGTGATATCTAAGTCAGAATGGTGCTGTGATTTTCAGTGCCCAGCTTGCAGGGTGTAGAGGGTCTTTGTACAAATCCTCAATATGTTTGCTTCCTCCTTGGTTGAAAGATTTTGTCCATGCAGAATGGAAAAGCATCAGGCATCAAGAGTGAGCAGAGTTGTATTGGACACAAGAGAGCACAGGTGGGCGATGGGTGCAAGCCTAAGCTTACCTGGGAGTTTTGGCTGTTTCAGGGGTCTGATGACTATACTGACAGGTGAAAGTGGAACAGTTCCTTTGTGTTTTGTCACATGAACCTAAAAACACATTTGTATCGATCAATTTTTTTTTCTCAAAGAGGTACTTTAAGTACTCATGAATTATTGTGTCATTTTTGTTTCAGTTAAAAGTCCTCTGCACATCCCATCTGAATCTGCTGAGAAGTCTGGCCACTCAAAACCTGCATTTTCCAAAGAATTTGCTGAAAGATGAAACAAAAAAAGGAAAAAAGTTCATCTCTAGTGACAAAAGCATTTGTTTGCAAGAACTTCTCACAAATGGCAGAAGAATTTCCTGTTAATATCTTTGGGTCAGATCCTTGCATGATACACATTAGTCTTTCTCTTTTATTGATGTTTCAGAGATTCTCTTTGAAGTGCCTCCATTTGCACAAAAAATGGACTGAGGCTATAGCCATGCCAAAATGTATCAACAGAATATAGGCTTGGATCTTCAGCTGGTGGAATTCAGTGTATCTCCATGATTTAAATGGTTTATATAGGCATTAGCTGGCATGAAACACATATGAATTTCAGCAAGGACAAAGGAAGAGCTCAGCATTCCTGTGCAAGGACTCCCAGACAGATTTCTCATTCTCACCTGTTTCTTTTTTCAAAACAGTCCTCAAAATCCATTTGGTGACATTCAGCAAGTCCTGGGTGACAAGCATTCTATCAGAAAAGCCTCAGCAAGCCTGAAATTCACTGAGTAGGTAAGGAGGACCGTGAGGAAGTGCCCTTGCCAGGGCATAAAGATGGGAAGCATAAGCGGGAAAAACTGTTCTTTACTCACATGCTGACTTTTGACTATGGATTTCATACTCAAAGGCCTTTTGAGCAGAAGGGCGACATAAATGAAAACATCCCAAACTACTGGTAGAAATTTTATGTGCCCCTTAGTTGTTCTTCAGAAGGTCTCTGTACAATGAGCATGGATCAGATCTTACTATGGGAGATATATGCCTTATGTGATAAGGCAGGCATTACCATGGGCCTGCAGGTCTAGGCCCTGTCCTCCCCCCCTCCTCCTCTTCACACTCACAGTGAGTTGGTTCTGACCCATATCAATAATTCAGTGAGATTTGGATCCAGCATCTCACAACTGTGTTTCAGCTTAATACTTTTCAGACAGAGCAAAGTAAAATAGACACCTCAGCCCCAGTTGTATCATGCACAACTCTAAAATAAGCAGATCTTTCTTCGATAAATCACTTAAATTATTTGAATTTTGGCCATGAAAGTGAGTCTTTGTGGAAGAAATTACTTTTTCTTTGCAGTGTGGAGACAGAATTTCCTAGAACATGGACAGGGCAAGAGCTAAAATCCCTGATGAGTGTTATTAAGGACATTGTTAGGAAATATAATTCTTTGTAGTTCTTTGGAGGAAGGATTTTCTTGCCACAGAGATTGTACTATTTCAACAGCTATTTTAATAAAAGCACATCCAAATGTATCTGTTTGGCCAGTTTTCTCTCCTCTTTTATGGAGCAGGAAGTTTGAGAATATATAGTTTTTGAAAAGCCTATGTGGAAATTGCACTAAAAGGACTTGCTTTGAAGTAATGGCATTCTTATATTTTATCATGCTGAAGTAATGAATTGAAACACAAGGTTTCACTTCCATATGTTGATTCAACACAATTTGCTTCTCAAACATTTCTTCTACCATCACAAAAATCAGAACATCAGTAACGTCAGAAAATACCAGCACTGTCCCCCAAAATACAAAATGTCTGTGTGATCCCATTATCACGGGAAAATGTTCCAGTGAAAAGTATTAGCCATTGTCAGAGTTCTTACAGAAATTTTCCCACTGACTTTAACTCTTTATTACTTGCCAGGAGAGGAAATTTTTCTACATTACTTTTTTTTTCTTTTTTTTTTTTTTTTTGCATCACGAAATAGAGAACCACAGTTCTTACTCTGGTTATGTGCAGAGAAAATTGAAAATGTAAAAACATCCAAAGTCTGCTGAGGTTCTGGAGTTTACTGGGGAAGGCTGACCTTTTGCATGTGGGATGCATGTATCACACAGAAATTTCAGATTGGCACCAACTTCAGCACTGATTTTTTTCAGTTCAACTGCTGATTGGCCATAAGCTACACTAAACCTGCCAAATTCATTTCCCAAACAGGTCCAAGTGACTGGCCCCGACTCCATGCAACTGCAAGGATGTGAGGTGTACACACTGCCAATTTTATCATGCCTTCTCCCTAGAAACTTGCTTGGCATTAGGCAGCTTATGACTATCAAATATTTATCCTATTGTCAGAAGACAAAGCAAGGGCTAATTGATGTTTTCTCTAGCAGAGCCCAACAGTGTAGGCTGTTTGATAAACAGTGAGAGAGTTTTCTCAACACTTCAAGGAATGGAGCTTCTCAGCCCAGTGTCTTTTTATTTATCAAAAGCCCCATTCATCTACACAAGGTTGTCATGCCATGAGAAGATTTTTGCCATGTGTCCTACAGATTGGAAAGAGAGGCACACCATGCAGGAGAGCCACCCTCACTGGCCAGGCCGTGCAGGTCTGGCAATGGCCAGTTCTGAGCACAAGCACCAGAGGTGATGTAGCCGACCTCTGAAGCCACAACAGAAGGGGAAGGAACAGTGTGTGCTGGTTTAAAAGTTTACCAGCAGGGGAAATGGACTCAACTCAAAAGAGAGATTATAAGTCAGAATAACAATTTAATAAAATAATACAATAAGTACAATTATACAGACAAACAATTGGTTTTAACCCACAAAACCCAAATGTATAACCCAGCACCCTGGGGTATGAACAAAGTGGTGTTCCTTGGCCCTCCCCGAGTCCAAAGTCAAGGGAAAGGGGAAAAACCTGCTGGTGGGAGAGCTGTTGCAGTCTGGTCAAAAGTGGTGATTGCAGTCCCGTTGAGGGTGGTGGTCTCAGTTTGGTTGAGAGCGGTGGTCTGCAGTCTTCCTCTGGATCCCACGAGTGGAAAAAAGTTCCAAAACTCCAAGTTTATATATTCTCCAGTTCAGGCAGGAATGCTCAGTCCTTCCCTCAGGGCGGGGAATTCTACAAAAGGGTGTGAGGACAGGAACATCTTCCTATCTCACAGGCATCTTAACACCCAGTTTATAGCCTGAGGAGTCAGGCTGCTCTGGGCAGAGGGTGTAAATGGTCTATTGATAACAGTTTCTGGGAAATGGCATGGAAGGCTATAGAATACACAGGTTTGGGTTACACCCATACAGTGATGAACTGGTCCCAGCTGTTCTAACTAGGACACAGTGTTAGGACACAAAATGTTCTGAGCTAAGGTAGAAAGCCCCCACAACCTCTGGAGAAAGGATGCTAACAGCAGCTCTGGCTGAGGGCTGGGAAGAAAAGAGTGTTTTCTGTGATTGTCATGGTGTGATGGTACTTTTGATCCAGGACAAGTCAGAGGTCACACAGAAAATAAACAGAAAAACCCAAAAAACTCCAATAAAAACCCCACAAGCCAAACCAAACCAAACCAAACCAAACCACATTAAAATAAGGTTCAGATTGTTCGTATTTTAACTTGGTTGATTCATCCAGCAGGTCCTTCCAACAAGATTTTTGCTGCACAAAGAGCTTGGGGCATCTAGAGAAATAAGGGGTTGGGGCCTGGAAATGGTTAGTTAAAACTTTGGCTCTTTCACCACCCTATGCATTTTCCTGCTGGCTAATTCATGTTTCAGTGCCTCAGATGGTTCATCAGTGAGGCAGAGCAACAGCAGTGCCCACGCAGAAATAGTAATCAGGTGAATAAAAACACGTTCCTAAATATGTAGAATATTAACAACTGAAAAGAGTAAATACAAAGGAGAAAAATATGCTTATTTTTATGGTGTAGTGGCTATGTAAAGGGCTAGATTCTCTGCTAGCTAAGAAATACAGCTCTTAATGACTTTTTGAGGTAAGGTTTTAAATTAATTGCAAGATGGCAGCTGTTGGTGATAGTCATCTGCATATGTATTTGTATATTTGAAGATTATAGTAATTTACTTGGTTTTGATGCCTATGTTTGAAGGCTACTTAAAGGGTGGGTTGACTGTAATGTGGAACACAAAGGGATAGAGTTGTTCTGTCCATGGGGATATAACTCCAAATCTGTGGCCAGCTATTCTGAGGGGCTTTGCAAAACCAAAAAGAAATGAAAAATGCAGTTGAAGAGATGTCACTCTTGGTCAGTGCTATGTGAAGTTCAGTGCAGGGTTGTGAGCACTATCCCTTATCCCTTAAGAAAGGTCTGTGCTGTCCTCCTAGACATAAATCTTCTTTAACGTGAACTACACTTTGGGACAGCTTGTGCCATTCAGCCAGACTTTTGTATGGAAGTGGTCTGTTGTTGTTTTTGCATTGACCTCCAAGGATATTGTATATGGATCTGTTGCCTTGCAGAACATTTCCTACAATGTTAAAACTTATTTAAAAAAGGAGAATGGTTTTGTTTTGCCGTGGAGATAGGTATAAATATTTAAAGGAGGCACAGATAAAACAGTAAACATTCAAACCTGAACTTTGAATTATGATTCATTTGGAATACATTCTTCCAGTGTGTGCAAATTCAGAGATATATGACTTTCCCTTGATACTGAAAACCAGGAGGGTTTCTGCAAGTCATCATATACAGCAGGGTGTATGTTATTCAAACCTTGCCCACACTAAGCTGTTGGAAAAGGTCTCCTCTCTCCAACACAGACTCTGGTTCTTTTAGGAAAACAAAACACTGTAATTCCTGGGATGGTTTTTGTTGCAAAGAAGTGACGAGCTGACTGACAGCCAAGTGCATGGTCATGGTCTTGACACACTTGTAGGTGTGTTCCACTTTGAGGAAAAGGCAGGAAAGCACATGGGTTTTATGTGTATGCATTTGTTCATCCTGAATTTCTGTTGTGATGGGTCTGGCTCTCTGTCAAGCAAACCTTCTCATCCTGACATTGAGCTGCTGTTTCAAAGCCTTTTCTGAGTTTGTACAGAGGAAGTTCCAACAAGTAAAACATGCTGCTACTCGCTGGAGACCCTTCAGAGGGAACACCTATGGGATATCCTGTTTTGCTTTGGGGTGACACAGGACCCTTGGTGTTCAGTCATGGCTTAAGGCCCAGCCATTCTGGGGCAAAGTACTTGGTTGTTAGACCAGGTCACTTTAGCACAAGGGTAAAATGTTGGCTCTATAGCTTTCCTGAACATACGTGTTTTTCTGATTTGAACTCGAAATAACTCCCTACATTTCTGAGTGCTTTCGTGAAATAGAAGGTATGGCAGTGTGTACCAATATAGAGATGCTACACAGTACAGTAGATGGTATAAGTTGGTATAAACCCTGTACAAACAGTTATATTCTTTTTCC